AAACTTTATTAATCACAGCACTGTTTAGCCAAAGACTCTATGTATTCCTAGCTAGCTCTTACATCTTAAATTAACCCATTTCTATCAATCTGTGTATAATGCCATGAGGGTATGGCCTACCGGTATGGTTCCTAAGGTTCCGGCATGTTCTTCTCCTTTGGCGGCTACATGCTTACACTCTCTCTCTCTCTCTCTCTCTCTCTCCATATATATATATATATATATGTTCAGATTTCCCACCTTGTTTTTGCTCTGCTACGCCATTGGCCCAAACAACTTTATTTATCAACCAATAAAAGCACACATATACAGAAGGACATCCCATTTATCATAGCCCTTCTCTATTAGCTACCTCCCCCATCTGCAAAAGGACTAGACCCAGTTCTTATGTTTGATCTAGCCCCTTAAAGCGAGTGTGTTAGTTTTATTTTATTTTACTTATTTATTTATTTATTGATGAGCCTGACTACACTGGACAGTTGTTGTGTTGTTTTCAGTGCATGAGTATTTTTCTTACACATGTTTATATAACACGTGTGTGCATGATTCCTTCAGGGGACATCAGATCGCCTGGAACAAGAGTTGTGGGTCCCAGGAATTGAATCCAGGTTTTCTGGAGAGCAGCCAGTGCTCTTAACTCCTGACCAATCTCTTCAGCCTCATTGTACTGTCAAATTTTTAAACAAAGCACCCAGCTTCACTGTGCTGACACTGTGTCTATTGTGCAAAGGAGTAGAGCTTTTGGCTGTTACCATTCTTTTATCCCTGTAAGTGACTCCACAGTTTGGGCTCAGGGTCTGACTTCCAAGGTCCCAGGGAAGTAAGAGTCATGGCCTTCTCGATAGACAGCAAGCAAAGCTGCAGATCACACCAGACTCCATGAGCTCCCAATACCCTGCTTGTGTCGAGTTTATTTTCTACCAAGCCTGGCCACTCCCTCCACTGGGCACATGAAGCTATTTCCTCCAGTGCAGTGAGACAGGTCAAGAAGTCAGCGCTAGCTTCGCTTCAGGCAACAGGAGGAACCTGGGGTGAGTTCATGACCACCTGAGTTAGCATCACAGACAAGGGACAGAGGAGGAGTGCTGCACTCAAAACTGAGAGGTGGAGGGAAGGTGCGTCTGCTGTCTGTCTTCTACTGAGGAACAACCACTGTTTGTTTGGTTTTCATCTTGGTTCAGAGCCAATGTACATGTGCTCAGCCAGTTATAAAAAGTGGCCTAAGTATTTATCAAACTCAGGATTGGCAACCTTTCTCCAGCAAGCTCCCCTTTCACATCCAGAGCCAGACGTGGAAGGTTTCACCATCTGACTATCCTTAACCAATAATTAGTGTTAATTTCTATATTACACATTGCTTCAAGCCACCTGCCAAAGAGAACGTGTGAGGTGAACTATTAAGAAGGCTAGAGTTGTGGTCCAAGTTTAGAAAGATTGGTTTTCCAAAAAAAAGAGGATAAATATACTCAACTTAGCTCTGCATGGGCCGGAAGCTCGAGAGGACTGTCACCTGCCTGCTGTTTTACATTCCTTTGGAGCAGAGAGAAGGCGCTAGCATACACTGACCAAGCAGGAGGAATGAATGCAGAGCTGAGCAAAGGGTGGGGGGAGCACAGTTGGAAGAGTTTTTCCCAGCTGTGTATACAGCTCTGAGTTCAGCCTCCAGGACTGAATAAACTGGGTGTGGTAGTGCATGGTTGTGATTCTACACCTGGAAAGAGAGGCTGGTGGGGAGCGGGGAGGTTAGGAGTTGAAGATCATCCTCAGCTACAAACAAGTGTGCATGAGACTCCATCTAAAAAATAAATAAGTAAAAGAACTTAGTATAGATGAGAAATCAAAGTGAGACTGGAAATAATGCCAAAGGGCTGTGCAGAGGAGTCTGTGGTTGGAAAAAGGCAAGGGCTGGATTGTTGAAGGCTAACGGAAGAAACTAGGGCTTTCTCAGTCAGTTGATGGAGGACCACAAAAGAACGTAAGGATGATCATATAAAGTCAAGCAGCCCCAAATCCAGTTCTTAAAACAATACTATCAACTTGTTTTTGATTTGTTTGTTTTGCTTTTGAGACAGGATCTCACCTTGTAAACTTGGCTAGCCTGGAATACATGTAGACCAAGTTAGCCTTGAACTCAAAGAGACCTTCCTGCCTCTGCCTCCTGGGTCCTGGAAATAAAAGTGTATCCTACTCTGCCAGTGAAGGAATACTACTCATCCCTGAGGGAGTGGTCTCCAGTCTCTGCCTGCTGAGGTTAATTTCTTTGTCAATTCCCACAGACATGTTTTCTGTTTTTATCAAGGGTTCAACTTGTTTCTTGTGGCTGCTCATGAGTTTGGACACTCTCTGGGGCTCTCTCACTCCAATGATCAAACAGCCTTGATGTTTCCCAATTACGTCTCCCTGGACCCTAGCAAATACCCACTTTCTCAGGATGATATTGACGGAATCCAGTCCATCTATGGTGAGCAGCTAAATGTGTATGTAACTAGACAGAAAGCTTTTCTGAGAGGAGTAAACGCAGATGGTTGCTTCCTGAAATACTATCATGAAGTAAACCCAGGCTTGGGTAAGAGCCTGGTGTGGACACAGTCCCTGACTCCGGAACCCACCATAGTCTTCCTTTTCTCCTTGAAGGAAGTCCGCCCAAGACACCCACCAAGCCAAAGGGACCCACTGAGCCCCACGCCTGTGCAGACCCTGGCCTGGCTATGGATGCTATCACTACCTTCCGCAGAGAAGTCATGTTCTTTAAAGGCAGGTAAACCTATCCCCTTGACACCCCACCTTCTTATGAAGACCTTTCTTTTCAAAGGAACTTGGAGGTAAACCGGAAGTCCTGGTCTCTGTAAGATCACACATGCTTCACATTTTACAATGCACATACTATTCAAATGTTTTATTATATGCATACACCTCATACTTATTTGGAAAATTAATTTGAAGTATTTTAAGCAAATTTAACTTGCTAGAGCTTCTTAGCTAAAATGAACATTGATCTGAAGAGTGTCTCAAAGTCAATGTAGAGCTGATTTCAGGAAGCTGGTGTTAAACGTTGAGGACATTTACACACCAGTTCACATCTGCTTGAAGACACCCATGTCTCCCACCCACCTGGAGAGCCTGCTGCTAAGCACATCAGCACTCCACAGCAAGAGACTCTTCCTCAATAAGTGATGTGGAAAACAAAGAAAATATCCAGAGGCGACTGCAGCCTCCACACACCGGCATAAACACACCACTCACATGTGTGCCCCACATACATAAGAGGCATACACACACGCATGCATACCACACATGCACACAAGTGCCACAGAAAAGACAAACAGCAGACTGCCACCTGCTGATGCACACAGACACCCGGACAACATCCGTGACATGTTTTGAATTTCCCTAGGCACTTATGGAGGACCTACTTTGATATTGCTGATGTGGAATTTGAGTCAATTGCTTCCTTCTGGCCGTCTCTGCCAGCTGACCTTCAAGCTGCCTATGAAAGCCCCAGAGATCAGATACTTGTGTTCAAAGGTAAACTTGCCTGTGTTTTCCTCCTCTTTCCTAAACAGGACAATGGGTATTTTGGTCAAATACAATCCTCATCATAAGCTGAGTGATAGAACTTTTCCCCTAATTTACATTCCTGTCATAAGTAACAATAAACTAGGCTCTCTCTATGGATATGACAATTCATTGAAAGAAATACATATGATAAAAACTGTGGCAGTCCAGAGCTGGTCAGCAGTTAAGAGAGCTGGCTGAGTTCAATGTCCAGCATCCACACCACAGTTTACAATAGTCCTAAAGAATCCAATGACCTCTTCTGGCCTCCATGGGTACAGTGGTTTGAAAGAAAATGGCCCCCAAAGGGAGTGGCACTATTAGGAAGTATGATTTTGTTTGAGTGGGTGTGGCCTTGTTGGAGGAAGTGTGCCACTGTGGGGGTGGGCTTTGAGGTCTCTTTTGCTCAAACTACTCTCAGTGTGGCAGAAAGTTCATGTCCTTCTGCTCATGGATCAACATGTATAGCTCTCAGCCAATTCTCCAGGACCATGCCTGCCTGCATGCCACCATGTCTCACCATGATGATAACGGACTAAATCTCTGAAACTGTAAGCCACCCAATTAAATGTTTTCCTTATAAGAGTTACTGTAGTCATGGCGTCTCTTCACAGCAATAGATGCTGTAACTATGACCACAGGGACCAGGTTGACACACTGCAGTGGCACACATGCAAACAAAGCATCCATATACAAAAATAGTACTGGTTTTAAAAAAAAGTATAGAAGTCCATTCTTTTTCTTCCAAACAAAGAAGACAGTCTATCTCAGTTCTGTGTTCCCTTTTATATGACTGTCACATTTAGCAAATAAAAATAAATAGAACAAGAATAAAGAACAATGGAGGATGAGATAACCAGGCTTGGAGCTGAGGAACTAGATATCCAGTTATTTCCAAACTTCCCAAGTCATCTCATCTCTTTTTCCTTGTAAGACACAGAGCAGAAGGCTTCTGAAGATACCTCTTTCTCTCTCTAGATGAGAATTTCTGGGTGATCAGGGGGTACGCTGTCTTGCCTGATTACCCCAAATCCATCCACACACTCGGGTTTCCAAGACGTGTGAAGAAAATTGATGCAGCTGTCTGTGACCACGACACAAGGAAAACCTTCTTTTTTGTGGGCATCTGGTGCTGGAGGTAACTCTGACAATTAACCCTTTTATGTGATTCAGAGGAAGTCACCAGCCACAATATCACCCCACACAGACAAAAGCAAAATGAATCTGCAGTCTTGTGGTGAATCGCTTTGAGGGCAATCTCTGGTGTGTGGCATTTATCAAACTAAGATGTTTGGATGATAATCTCCCTCCAACTTACATAAAAATAAGAAAAATAATAACCTATCAATGCGAACCAGATTCTCAATGACAGAAGTATAGCCAATAAGAACCTGGAAGAGGTACAAAGTGAGCCTCCATTTGCTCTACGATTTCTTCAGAGAGAACTACTCTGACAGATGGTGGGGCCTTTTCCTCAGTGGTTTTGTTGTTGGTGGTGGTGGTTTACAGTCCTTGTCCACAAAACTATATCTTAGCCCCTAGCATTCATTGTTCTTACTGTTTCTAAGAGATGGTAAGTGGAGGATGGGGAGATGGCTCAGTCAACAAAGCACTTACTTTACACACATGAGAACCTACGTTCAATTCCCAGACTTAGGTCAAAACTTGGGTACAGCAGCAAATGTGCACGCACATTTGGAATTCTGTGTATGCCCACACACACGTGCATGTGCACGCGCATGCATACACACACACGATTATTCGAACAATCTTTGTCACATTTTTATCATTGGTCCTATTAGATGATTTCTTCTGCCAGTCCTCATAACCCTGCTAAACTGAGCAGTAGAAAGATTAAGTTCACCAAACAGACATCAAGCCTTTGGAATCTTTTCATGCAGGTATGATGAGATGGCACAAGTCATGGACAGAAGGTTCCCACAGAGGATAGTGAAGTACTTCCCAGGAATTGGCATTCGTGTGGACGCTGTTTTCCAGCATAACGGTGGGTGTCAGTGCTTCCACTGTGTAAAAAAAGAAAGCAATACACATTTTGTTTTAATATAATTTTACCATTCTCAAGGACATACACCGGTTGATAAATATTACCCCTGTACACACTACCAAACGGAAACAGGAGGCGATGAACTGGATTCTGAGATGCTGCTTCATGTCTATGTAAGGAGACCCAAAATTAATTTTAGTCCCCATTGATCTAAGATACGACCTAAAAGAGCCCTTAATGTGTGAAAGATAAATAAACTCACAAGATGGCCATGATTTTCTCAAACACACATTATACACACACACACACACACACACACACACACACACACAATATTATATACCACATATACATATACATAATATATGTATGTATAGCTTGAGGTACATGACTTGGAATCCATGTATGAGAAAACTATGTTTTAAATGTCTGAGGCAGTAGGATTTTGAGTGAGACCCAGGAGATTTTAAGAGACTATTTAGCAATTGGGTTTCTTGGTTGTTGGACTGGTTGGTTGAGGCTTTGTTGAGCTTGCAATTCTTCACTGTACTGAGGATTGAACCAAGAGCCCCACTAGTAGCAGATAAATTTTCTGCCAATCAGCTGCATCCTCAACCCAGAACCTTAGGTAAGTTAATGCATAAAGTCCACATTCTGGGTTTTCAAAGACAATCTCTTGGACCATGAAATGACAGATGACCTAAAAAATTGTTTGAGGGCCAGTAAAACGATGCAGTGGGCACAGATGCTAGCAGTCATGTCTGTCTGATAACCCAAATTTAATCACTGGATCTCACGTAAAGGAGGGTGGAGAGAATCAAATCCACAAAGCTGTCCTCTAAGCCCCACAATATACTATGGCATGTACATGTACTCTCATACACAATTGTAATGAGAATAATAATATTTTTAAAGCATTTGATGCCACAATTGACTGTCTCCATGATATCTAACCAGAACCTCAAAGTCTGAAATAGATAACAGATGTTGCAGATCTATAGAAATGAGGGCAGGGAGTCCAAGGACAAACTCAGAGGGGCCTTCTTTTCCAGTGAGATGCCTTGTGGAAAGCTAGCTGGCAGCTGGGGTCTGGCTACCACACACAGAGACCCTTCTGAAACTTGTTAGGCTTCCTTCTCGGTGGTTTACCTGGAGTGGGTGGGAGCAAAGTCCATCTCTGTGATCCCACAGTGGCTCCCTTCTTTACAATGTTGTTGGATTCTGCATTTATAAAATTAAAATGCAGAGGAGCAGTGAGCGCTATGCAAGGTAACTAACCATGCCTCTTTGCTCCTAGGCTTCTTCTATTTCTTCCGTGGCTCAAGGCAATTTGAGTATGACATCAAGGCAAAGAACATCACCCGAGTGATGAGAACCAATTCCTGGTTCCGGTGTAGAGAACCAATCAGCTCGTCATCCGGTGCTGACATCAAAGAAGCAGCACACTCAGGCGGAACAGTGACACTGCATCAGAGAAGTGTGAACTTGTTCCTTTTCAGTGCTGTTCACGTGCTGACAAAGACATACAGTTAACAATAAATGCCACAAAGAAATATTTTCACCTGAACTCTGCCTCAAATAGACTCAAGAGTGGGAGAAATGACTCTGGTTAAGAGCACTGGCTGCTCTTTCAGAGGATCCAGTTTTGATTCTCATCATCCACATGGCATCTGCAGCTGTCTGTAACACCAGCCTGCGGGACGCTGGTGTCCTCTCTGGCCTCTGATGGCACTGCACACACACACGGTGCACAGACATACCCGCAGACAAAACACCTGTACACATACAATAAAATGAAAAAGTCAGAAAACTGAGCCACTTCTTTAACAGCAAAGTGTTGTCCTACTAAACCGCTGGGTGAGCATCTGGTTCTTCTCACAGTGAGATTTTAAACAGGAACAAAATCTCTGACTTATTGTAAGCCTACTTCAAGCTTTGTAGACTTGGAAAAGTGAAAGATGTCTTAAAACTAAATACCAAAGACAATTCTTAATCTGATCTTTAGCATTCCATTTTGTTTGGTCCTCAGGGTACCAGTTCAAAAGCCAAGTAAAGGCATCCTTCAACCCTATGAGAGCTTTGAACTCACCCATCAAATACATTTTACCTCCCAGAAGTAGGATGAGGGCCTGAGTAAAATGAAGGGTATGTTACACTTGAAGCCAGTCCTTAACAATTAAGGAACTAGACAGAGCAGGAAAAAAATGTCCCCGCAGTCTTCCACATGTTGCCCAATGTATTAACCATTCCTTACATAATACGAAATCAAGTTTTGTGCACATTAATCTCATATGCAAAAAATGTAGATCATCCCAGTGTCCCATGTGTGGGCCTCATCTGTGGAGCCTGCAGACAAAAAGTTCATTTCCTCTTGCTTCCACCAACATTTGCTGAGGTAGTAAACTCTTACAATTGGGCTTTATCTTTCTGTCCTTGATGTAACATATTTAGCAAAGCTCTTAATAAATTTTCTCACCCAGAAGTTGGAAGATTATCAGCTGAAGTTGTTTCTGATAGGCTCCTATATTGAGAACATATTTGTGAGAGTCAAAGTTACATTTTAAGTGTTAATTACTATGTCTTAGAGATCCATGAAATAAAAATGCCTCTGACCTGCAAGCCCCTTGTCCAAAGATAGACAGTTCCTGGCAGGCAGCAGATAAAAAGCTTACAAGACATAGGAAATAGACATAAGGCTAAACATTTATTACTTAAAGGAGAGACAGACAGACAGAAAGACAGAGACAAAGAGAAAGAGAGAGACAGACAGAAACACGTGTGCACACACCAAGAGAGAGAACAGAAAGAGACCAAGATGACGATGAGAGGTCAGAGGTTGCTGGGAGTGGGCGTGGCTTGTCCCTTAAAGGGACCAGAGACCAAAAGGAATAACATTCCCGGATCCTTTTTGTAATAAAAAGCAGGAGATTAGACACCACAGTTTGAAGGAATTGGGGTGGCGAATTCTCAAGACTGCTTCCGGCTGATTTGTGGGTGTCGTCTTTCAGGGGGAACCCGAGTGAAGGCTGGGTGCTGGTCACATCGTGGCATAGTTGGCCTCTGCTCCCAACAGGTGTCTGTGGCATGGAAATGTCTGGTGTCCCTTGTACCTGGTTAGGATATTGGCAGAACAGAGGACAAAGTTAAATTAAGGAAAAAATTTTTAGGACCAGGGAATTGAGGGGGATGTATCTGACCTATTTAAGGTGGGTTCTTTAATTCGGCTCCCAGGAACTCACAAGAACTCCTTGGGTTTGTAAAAACAGAAGTTTTAGACGTATGCATTGTATAATGACTGTGACATATTTTCGTACAATGAAAAGTATTTTTTATTTGCTGAGGTAACCTGGCAAAACCTCTCAGCTATCAAACTGTCAGAGATCTTTGAGAAGGATGAGATTTTACTTGAGTTACTGATTAAAAAAATGACAAAGAACTTACTTGGTTGGCACCCAGATGTAGTGAGAAGCTGCGGGCAGGCCTGCTTTTCATCCCACCCGGCTCCAGCACAGCTAGCTTAGCCCCAGAAATAATAACACGGAAACTATATTCACTTAAACACTGTCTGGCCCATTATCTCTAGAGTTAGTTACTGACTAACTCTCACATCTTGATTAACCCATTTCTAATAATCTGTGTAGCACCACAAAGTGGTGGCTTACCGGGAAAGATTCAGCATGTTTGACCTGGTGGCTGGCTCCATGGCATCTGCCTCATTGCCCTCTTCCCAGCATTCTGTTCTGTTTACTCTGCCTACCTAATTTTCTGTCCTATCAAGGGGCCAAAGCTGTCTCTTTATTAACCAATGAAAATAACACATAGACAAAAAGCCCACCTACATCATTTCTCCTTTTTCTATTTAAACAAAAAAGAAAGCTTTCACTTTAACATAGTAAAATTACATACAACAAAACAGTTATCGAGTAAGAATTACAGTTAAAATATTTATATCTATTTTATCTTTATCATAATAATGGAAAACTATAACTAACCATTCTTCAACTCCATCAAAGACTCCAGAAGGATATAGTATTACCTAAGTAAACAAGAAGTAAGCAACTTCCAAAACTCTAGAAATGACAGAGACATCTCACTGCCTGTACAGTCACCCAAAGTTCTTTTGTACCATTGGGGCATCCATCTTCAGCCTTCAGGACCATACTATCCAGCAGACATTTTAATGAAGCAGGAAGTTTCAAAGACAGTTCAGTCACTATCTGCTGTGTCCTGCAGAATGTCTCGAAGATTCTTTCATGAATCAGGAACCCTGAAAGATCATCTCACCTTTAGGCAAGTTCAGTAGTCCTTTCTCTGTGGGTTCTCTGTGTCCAGTTTATACAACAGTCCAGGCAAGAGCAGTTTCTTGCCCAAATGGCTAACCAACTCCATAAGGAGCCTCTTTGATGCCCATCTTCTTCTTGAAATAGATTGGTGCTGCCAGGCGCAGACGTGTCTCATTGTCATGAAAAGCCCTAAGTTATTAAAACATTAAATGCCATGTTCTGTAGTCTTTGAAAGATATGAAGAATGCCTATCTGAAATATATCTATGCACATCTAGAAAATCAAACTAACATTACTACAAGCTTGACTATTATCGATGATTATCCATTAACAACCTTTATTTTTAATTATACATTGCATTTTTAAATGAATTACAGAATCACAATACCTCAAGCAAGATCAGAAATATATACATATAACAAAATTGCCCTTAAAATCCATACCAATGCAAATTATTCATATCTATATCATATCCCCCTTTAAATGTAAAAGAACATTTATAAGCAATATTTGGGAATACGGACGTAGTTATTTCTCTCCAAACTTCTTCCTGCTGTATAAGGGCACTGTTAATCAGGTCTTTCATGGTATAAACTGTGTGCTAGATTCATCTCAGTTGGCAGTTGAGCAAAGTAATTTCTTAAGGGTGTTCACAGCAACCTTTCAGGAGGACAGGATCTATCATACCATGTTGGGATAGAAGCAATCCACAGGGTCTCATCCTCTGTGAAAAGAAAAGAAGAACTTTTCCAAAGCATCATAACCTTAGATCCAAATTTTGAAGTCAAGGTATTTTCAAAATATCTATCTTGGATTAGTTCAGCAGCATTTATAAACAAATATCTTTTAGCAGTTGTTGCTCCTTCCTCAGCATTCAAACCATTCAAAGAAAGCATAATAGCATACAATATCAAGATTCTCTGTGTATTTTCCATCTTTATGTGGCTTTATTTTAACCTCTATTTTTTTTATTTTTACTTTTACTTTTTGAGACAGGTTCTCTGTATATCTTTGTCCTGGAATAACTCTGTAGACCAGGCTGTCCTTGAACTCACAGAGATCCCTCTGTCTCTTCCTCCCCAGTGCTAGGATTAAAGATCTGTGCTACAACACCTTGAACTCACAGAGATCTGTCTGTCTCTGCCTCCCAGGCATTGGGATTAAAGGTGTGTGCTACCACACCTTGAAGTCACAGAGGTCAATCTACCTCTACCCCTTGAAGTCACAGAGGTCAATCTACCGCTGCCTCCCAGACATTGGAATTAAAGGTGTGTACCACCATACCCTACTTCTCTCTTTCTTTCTTTTTTATTTTGATTGACTTTAACGTTTAGCCTGTTTATATTTTTAACACACTGTAAACCATTTAGAGGTTTTCTTCCTCTTTGAATCTCTCTTTACTGTATATTTTTCTTTTTTTTTTGACCACATGAGTCTTTAATTTGCTAAGCAATATGGAGAGCCATGGCTTTGACCACTGGATACAGCCCATTCCTTAGCTTTCCAGCCTCACGGCAGAGGTACCAGCTGTAGCCACGTTTATCTTCACAACTCTATGGCGTTTCAAGGTCCTTGCCAGCAAGCAAGCTGCAACAGTGTTAAACAACACTCAAAACCTCTGTAGTCAGAACCACTTGGGTGAAAGAGTCAGAGTTTGCCCTAGCAGAACAGCCCAGAAAGCCAGCATTTTAAAACAGCGTGACTTTTTTTCCTGCTACAGCTGAAAACTGAAAAGCATGCGTTCAGCTTTTCATCAACACGGTTTAAGTGTTTCGTGGCAGGACCTCTTAAAGGAGCTGCAGGGTTTTGCAGCTAAAGCTGAGTCAGGAAGCATCTAAGAGCACTTGCTTGCCTCTAGCCAGCAGAGCAGACCCGAGAAATTGCTGCTACCAAGAAAACATGCTTTACTCTATTCTTTCCCAAACTTTCTCAGGCTTTCTGTGGCTTCAGTTATCCACATCTGGGCGCCATTTGTAGTGAGAGTTTTCTCTACAGATCTGAGAGTTTTCTCATATCTATGTTGAGAGTTTTCTCTACAGATCTGAGCAAGTGAAACAATGTTATGAGTCTGTAAGGACAAAACCTAAATGAGTCTGTTAGGACA